TTCATGACTTAGCTCTACAATTTAACATGGACCATGCAAGAATTAGTTCAAACACAAGAATGAGAAGATGAAATCCTTACCTAGGTTCCTTGAATGCAAGTCTAGAGGTCCAATTTAGCAATCTACACTTCAATTACCAAGCAATTCTTCAAGATCTCAAGCTAAATCAACAAGAACAATTCTCTCTCTCTCTAACTCTCTTCTTGGTCGGTTGAGGCAACACAAAGGCTGATGAAATGTTGTTTTAATCAAATGCATTAGGTGTAATAAGGCTCAAAAGGTTTGAGGTAGTGGGCCACTACGAGGCTAGTTCGGTAAATAAGTCCAACTACGCAATTGATCAATAATTAATCTAATTTACTCACACCTACTCAGTTTTCAGGCAATTATACCACAAAATCACATTAATTATGACGATCATAAAACATTAATCAATTCCGGATTCGGCCGCCGATAAGGCCTTCAATTAGTAGTTTAAACACTAAAATACGAACAGATCAAATAAACATTCAACAGATAAAATGCAATTCAAACGTACATACTCAGTCAATTCAGTTCCAGTTTTCAGTCAGTCAGTTCAGTATTTTTAATCAGTTCAATTATCAGTCATAATCAATTTAGTTTAACGGTAATCGATGGTTATCAGTAATCAATCAGTCATTAATCGGTAAACAGTATGAGGGTTGTTACAGCCATCCCTACCCGAGTGTGTGTTCGTTCTGCAACTGTAGGGTTGGCATTCGAGGACGCTCGTTAGCTTGTCTATAGCCCAGTGCTCTGTGAGTAACAATGTTGTAAAGATGTGTTCAATTATGATTATTTTTTGAATGATCAACTGTACTGCTTACTGAAATGTTATTGTTCAATGAATGAATGTTTGTCCTATTTGTAAACTGTACTCGTGGTATCCATAGCAACCTACTGTTACTGTTACTGCTACTGTTACAGAGATCTCTGTCAGTTCTAATGTTGACTGTTCACTATTTGATGGCCATCAGCTAACCGTTCGGTCTGTTAAGGCTTACTGTACTGTTTTGCTATTGCACGTAGCACGTAAACTGTTCTGAATTCTAAATGAATGATTTGGCATGAATATGAGCCATTGATTGAATAACTGATTTACTGATACAAATGACTGGTTTAACTAATGAAAGGACATTCATTTAAACCCCTTTACGCACATGTTATTCACTGGGCTTTAGCTTACTGTTTATATTTATATGTAGGTGTCCAGGCACCGGACCGATGCTAGAAGC